GCCACCATACAGTAAATCACGGTCTGGGACTGAATTTGTGTGCCGTCCCCGGACTCTCGGTCCAAATCACCGTTAGCCGAGTGTCGGTCATGCCAACATTGCCAGTCGACGGGGGTAGCTAGCTGGAGAGGCTTCAATAGTTGAAGCTGCACCTAAGAAAAGAACGTGCCTGGGAACAATCAATGCTTATGCGGTACGACGGTCGTAAAGTTGGCCTCCTTGACAATCTTGATTTGAGAAGGCTTTCGGAGACTGTGTCGGATTGGAGTCGGACGAAGTCACAAGAGCGAGTAAACGGTGACCGTGTGAGGCGGAGTACCTTTCCAAGAATTTTCTCACACTCCGTAGCCCAGGCCTGCTCAGCGCTGGCAGTAGAACCAACAAGTCGTGAATTGAAAGACGGCACCAACCTTCAATTGATCTCACCTGACATAGGCATCACATCTAGCCAAAGAAACAGATCGCAGCGTCTCGACGAGGCGAGGTAATTACCGGTCGCGAGGGCATACCCCTCGACTATTGATATGGCGAAGGTGGAACTATTAGCCTCGAACCAGAAGGGGATTCTGTGACCATGCAACTTCAGTAAGCAGAAAACAACTCCATGGCGAGTCACAGAACCCACCGAAAGCTCCTAGTGTCGCTAGATACTCGCCTGGGTCGAAATGTTGGAGGTTCAGCCCCAGTATCGCGTTGTAACTAGCCAACCAGCTGCGGTGCTTGGAGAGCCTGAGGAATCCTTGATCGTGGCCTCTTGAAAAGTACCTTCTGAGTCGCATGTATCCATTAACAAGGCGACAGGCTGTACCGAGGTTCAACATTGTTGGCAAGACGTTACCAACGATGATCGAAGGTAAGACCGTTCATTGCCTTTGATTCGAGTGGGAAAGGGCTGACATCCTTAGTTTGCTACCGACTCTCGTGAAAATCAGCAAGCAACCCGTCGTCAGATTTGGTTGTCCTGCCAGGTGTTGCAAGTCTTCAAGTTGCGTTGGAAGTCAACGGTGACGCTTGGAGCTAGGTGAGGCTCTTGGCAGTCTTCGTAATTTCGTCTGATTTTGGTCAAACAACGGATAGACCATAATGTGCAGTCGAAATCTTCGTAGATCGAATTGGTCTTGTCCCAGCAGTATGGAGAACACGGACTGGTGTTGGAGGGGAGGAAAGAGTAGTGTAGCATCGCCAACTTACCGGAGAATGAGGACCAAACAATTGTGCCATCTCCGTTCCAGATAACGCCACCGCTCTGAGCGACATTCAATCGTGCGAATCCGGAATTATGAAGAACAGAGGCAAAGCTCAACGATACGTGCCTGCAGCCGTAAAAACATGCCTAAAGGGAGAGTGAACGATACACATTCACCCCGCGAGCGGCGATACGTTATTGAACAAGATAGTTGGCTCAATGCACAGTGTCGCATCGAGAGGGACTTTATTCTGTGAGCAACGTATATCGGTTGCTACAAGAAACATCCCATACATGTGCATATGAAGTTGAAGACAGTAACACTGAGACTGACAGCCGAGAAAGGCCAAGGAACAGGCCAGGCCTGAGATACGTATACCCATCCCAATCTGAATGAGCATTTGTAACGTATACAAAGTAGAGTATTCTGGGGTAAGGTTTGACGGAGGCTATAAGCCTTTGATCACGATCTCTTCCGTATCCGACTGAGATTCATCCTTAACCTCATCAGTAGTCTCCGTGACGCCGTCGTCTTGAGGATCTTCGGCCTTAACTTCGTCGAGGGCGCCGTCGGTACCAGCATCTACAGCAGCTAGGCTTTCCCCCTTCTTCCTCGGTCTCGCGTTGGCAGTGGGAGGTAATTCTTTCCCGAATACTCGAAGACTGAGTGCACTGAACAAGCTGTGAATAAAGAGACTATCGGCGAAGGAGGAATGCTATACTTTTTCGCCTTTTTGTCTATCATGAGCGTCATTGACGCGCTTGATTTCCAGACCGGAAGGACAAGATCATGACTGAGACTGGAAACTATCCGTTAGCGGCCCACGACGCAGGGTGTAAGAGACAGGGACTTACGATGCTCCTTGCATCTCCCCCGGAGGAAACCTTATAACATGGCAACCGAGTTCTTAAAAAGGACAGATGAGCACCTCGCCAACTTTTCAAGAGATACCCGTTTCACCTGCTCCCTCCATGATAGTTTTGAACGACTCCTCAAAGCTATCAAGCAGAGGATAGTACGACTCAACCAGAGTCTTCAACGTCTGCATCCCAGCCTCAATTATCCGTGAAGGCTCAACGTAAGGCAAAACCACTGGAAGTCCTTCTCCAAGAATGCGGTATTGTGCACCGACCCCAGGTGTCCCAGATGCCCCGCCTTCCTTCTTGATAGCATCCTCCAGCTTCTCGTGCACTTTGGCACCTTCTTGCCGCGTGAAAACTTTCGTACCAGCAGCGGTGAGCCGTATGCGAGTGAAGTCGTTGCACTGTACGACGGACTTGACGATCGAATTGGTGAGATACATTGATCGTACGACGTCACCCTCGGGATTGCGAACGAGGACATTATCAGAGGGAAAGCTGGGGACGAGATGTAGACGGTCTCTATAGACAAAAGGTGAGATTCAAGCCGCGAATTGCCGATCAGGTGAAACTCGCGTACATGCAAGACATCAAGGTAGGATCGTCCTTTGACAGGAAGGTGTAAGGCATCTCCTTGAACGAGCCGCCTCCGCCATCTTTTGTCTCTATTACCTCTAAGGGTTCTACCTTTGCATCGACGTCTACCATGGCCGCATCTCCGTCGGAATCAGCTTGAGGCGTTGATGCGTTGGTCGAGGCATCGTCCCTCAAACGAGGTTTTTTGACCTCGGGTTCGCGATCATCAGCAACTTCCTCAGCAGACCGCTTCTTCTCCCTAACAATAACGATCAGTATCACTTCGAATATCCAAGACGAACTAGAATTGACTTTTTTGAGGGGTTTGAAAAACCCGGTTTCCGTTCGAGGACGGCAACAAAAAATCCGCCTGAATCCTGAAGATGGGGATATATCCGCATGCTACGATCGATGAGAATGCGGCTTAGAAGTAACATGAGAGCTCCAGGGGCTTACCATCTCTCCAAATGCAACTCGGTGGCGTTCGAGGGCGGCCAGTGGCCCTCCGTGAGTTTTGTGTTGGCGGCAGCCGAAGGATCGGCTTCGACAAAGGCAGCATGTGTCTCGTATGTTGTTTTGACAGCCTTGTCTGCAGTTGGTCTCCAAGCATTCAGACCAGGACGACGTTTGAGGGATGGGAAAGAAGAGGAAACATCGACTAGTTGAAAATCTGGTAACGGGTTGAATAGAGTAGACGATGTGGGGTAATAGGATGTCACGAACCGGGGTTAGTGTTCAAAGCGGCTGCGACAACCGCTTCGTTCTCGACCGGGTTCAGAGAGCATGTCGAATACACTATACGACCATCGGGCTTCAGCATTTTCATCGCCCGTTGGAGAATACGAAGTTGTAGACTAAAAGAATAGTGTAAATACTGAGCAGTTGCACTGGAGAAGGACATTTTTCGGGACGCACCCATGGAGACCATTCCCGTCATTCGGTTGCCATGTTTTCCATATCCCGAGATTCTTTCGAAGCGTGCCGTCCCCACTACAAGGCACATCGCAAAGTATGCGGTCGAACAAGAGAGGCGTGAGCCTTGGTTTGCTCCCACTACTCAAAGGTTCGGCCGGGATCTTCATAGAGGGGTAATTCGACGCATCGAGATTCGTGACCATGAGCGCGGGGCTGGGTAGTCGGGCAGATTGATGGATGAGAAGATGTGTGCGCTTGTAGTCACTGTCGTTGGCGACGAGAAGACCAGATGGTATGGAGGTAGCTGTAAGGGTGTCTTGAGCATGGAGAGCTTCGAGTAGCTGAGCTGTCTGCAATGTAGTATCGCGTGAGAGAACCGTAGCGGGAAACAACGATGTGACTGACCTTTGATCCAGGCGCGGCACACATATCCATAACCTAGAATAACAAGACATGAATCGGGGGTCAATCAACGCGATATGTGAATGACAACACACTTTATGATGCGGCTCAACGTCTAGGAAGAGAGGAGGCAGCATACTGACTGCCTCTGAGCGAGATATGTTACCCTTCAGAGTGATAATTCGGCTATACGTTCCTCCAGGAAGGTAAAGATGAGACTCACGACTTCAGTCTCGAAGACGAGAAAAGAATGAAACTTCTTGAACTCGGGAGACTTGCGCAGCACTTTTTTGGGGACGTTGAATTGCCAGGCAAGACCGTCAGGGTACCTAAACCAGTTCAAGTCCTGTTCTTAACTTCTAACCGATCGACGCACCCACCAAGGCAATTGAACTGGTGGCGGAATTTTTTGGCCTTCAAAGCTAACGTCGCTCAGCATGGGAACATGGGTGTCGGTGATCGCCTTGTTCAAGGATTGTGCAGTTCTGTGCAAAAAGACATAGAATGGCTTATTGCGTCTGTTAACCACAAGATAGAATACGCACAATCGACTCCCAGCGACTCTGAATGTAGTCGGTAAAGGACTTCTCAGTGCATCCAGGAAAGACTCCCATTCCTCCTCAGGTAAAATATCCTGGGCTTTGTAGTACGCCGCGAAACGTTCGTTGTTCATATCAGACTTTTCGAGGAGATCGGTGCGGTATTCATCGTTCTTGGGAGCGCGTTTTCCACCACCACGCGCTTGAACTCTCTGGATAAAGTAAGGTGAATGAGATGCATCGAAGTGACGATTGCTGAGGAGAGCTAACTTTTTTCTTGCCCATTGTCGCGTCAGAGGATGAAGAACGACTTATTACGTAACGATCGTGCCTACAGACTCTTGATATCAGCAGTCCTAGACTGAAATGGCGTGAAGCTGAAAGACAGAGGGACTGGAGAGGGAAATTTCTGATGATAAAAATAGTGGCCAGGGTTTGCGCGTTGAAAAAGGTCTATGCAGCGAGTGTCGATCACAGAATGGGGACTGATTGTATTACCTGGCAACTTCCTCACTTACACCTCCGATGTGGTGTAGTGGCTAACATTGCTGTCTTTCATGCATATGACACAGCAGCCCGGGGTTCGATTCCCCGCATCGGAAAGCTTTTTCGTATCTTAATTATAACGTTGAGTCGAACATACTGCTAGCGTATCGCCTTTTCCGCAATCATTTGTCGTTGAATCTTACCTCGAGGGCACCCGGTATCAGATTATTATCAAGGTTGTCCTTGGACATCTATGAAGGAGAACTCAGAAGTTAACGATTCACAAGTTGAGATATCGAGCCAGAATTCAGAGCGTGTTTCCAAAGCTGTGTAATGTACAATGGATCGACCATAACAGCCACTACCTAGATCCCCCGTATTGCAACCCAGTGAAAGGTATCTTCAAAACCTCATCCCAAGAGAAATCTTCGAGTGCAGCTGTAAGTATCGAAGTTAGCGAAACCGGTCGCCAGAACAAAGGTCTGGACGGACGAACCCAAAAACCATTTAGTGAGCGTAAGTCGAACCGATGGGGCCAACCTTGATGTTGGAGAAGATGACGTTGGCATTGGCGGATTGGGATTCGACGGTCTCGGGCTTGCCAGAGGTGGAGGAGCAAGTACCACGGGCAACACCAGGGGTGGAGGCATCCTTGTTGAGGGGGTAGTTGGAGTCGAGCCACAACATCTCAGCATCATGGTCATCCCAGATACTCATGACGAGAACCATTCCCTTCGCGAATGCCTGGCCCATGGCAGCGAGACCGCCACGGTCACCGAAGGAGTTGGTGTCGCCGAATGCCTTCTTCTGGGCAGTGCAGAAGGCGTCGGTGATAGAGTCGTAGGCAGACATTCCGGAAATGTTGGTCTTCGAGTTGGCGATGACCTTGCCGTTCTGAACGTAGACACGACGGATCTCAGAGAGAGTTCCGCTGGTGGAGTTGTTGCTGGTCACGAATTGGGTGACAACGGTGAACTTGGAGTTGGTGTTCACAGTCTTTCCGGGGCCGAGGAAGTTCTTGTCGCCCATGCGGAAGGAGTTGAAGTCGCATCCGTCCTTGTCACAGATACCACCGTACCTGTTGTCTCCGTCACCACAGTCGTTGCCAGTGCAGGCAGTCTGACCACCCTGGACGTTGCGGCAGACGTGAGGGGTGTAGGCAGCAGCATTGTTATTGGCTTCCCAGACATCCATCTCATTGCAGCAAGCTCCGAGTTTGCCCTTTCCGGCGTTGGCGTCGTTGGAGGAAGGCGTCCAGCCGTCAACGTTAGCCTACGAGTGCGAATATACACAATTAGTACAAGGTAGCAGGTATGCAGAACACCCTTACCTGGCCGTTGATGAACTTGATGTCGTGCGGGCATTGGGTATCGCAGTATCCCGTACCGTACTTGGCACCAGCCTTGTTGTTGGTAGATTTGGCCATGCCACCATCGGCATCCATGGACACGAAATACAAAGCACCGTTGAGACCGCAAGGCAAGTTGGACATGTCGACGTCGAAGGTGAACTCCTGGTTGCGCATGTCGAAGGTCTGGTATTTCGCGTCGGAGGTGTCCATGAGGTAGACACGGGAACCAATGTTCTTGGAGTAGGGGCCGTTGGTGACGAACTTCAAGTTGAGTGAGTTACCGGAGGTGGTGATACCGTAGGTACCGCTGTAGTCTGCTCCGTCAAGGGCACAGCCCTGAGCACAGGCAGCATTGCTGGGGCAAAGAGTACTGTCCCAGGTGTTACCGGTGTAGCAGTTGGTGAGGTCCTTCGTGGAGTGGAGCCATCGCCAGTTGGAATCGAGGACGATGGAGGCGGCCTGGTTCGTGCAGCTACCTCCGGCGGTACATTTCTGCCAGGAGAGTTTCGGGTGAGTTTCCGCAGTGTTGGTACCAACCTGTTGAGCAGATACGCTCAAGGCGAGGAGAGCGAAGGAGAGCAGAGAAAGCTTGGGGAACATTGTTCACTACCGGGGATGGGACTACCGTTGTCTGAGGTCAAGTGGTCGAAGATGCTGGCATTTTATACTGTCCATGACCGGTTAATTTGTTGGTAGAGGTCATCAGCTGGACCTCGCGATGCAGCTGCCGAAGTGAAACCGTATGGTTTGTATTCCACCGTCCCATGGATCACAGCGTTTGGCTGGGGGTTGATCATTGACAGAAAATCTTACTGGATGCGGTCGCCGTGACTGTTCCATGCAAGTCAGAGGCAGATGTTCGGAAACTTGTGCCTATTCAATGAAAATCGCCGGTTCGGATAATAGTGGTTCAAAGGTGAGTTGCAGTGCTGCGTATGTGGAGTTTTGTTGTTATTCGCAAGGGGCTTTCTACTGTCAAGACGCTTGACAAGCCTGTGAAAGGCTGGAGCTACGAGAAATGACCATTGAGAACGGAACGAGCGTCGTCGTCGAAAGAGCCTCAGCGGCGTTGCTGGGGATGTACTCACTATATTTGGTACAAGCTGAGGCGGAAGGGGAACTTTGATAGAGAACAGCGATCGTCATGGAATCTCGAAAACGATCTTAGATTCGTCTGCACATGGACATCTTGATCTTGGCTCTTGGATAAACCAAGAAGCCACGATCTCGCAGGTTTTAGACGAAAATCGAATCTTGAAAAGTCCGAGAATTAGCAATATTTTTCCCTATGTCCACAGAGCCTGGCCGACATTCACCCGTGAAAAACCCTGAGGACTGGACTCACCACGACCATCGACGATTAAATCCACAATGTTCCGTCAATCCCCCACCAAAAATACCTCCACCAGTTCAAACGGGTCATTCACGGTAGTGACGTCGGCGTCGGGTCGGAGTTCAGAGGCTCGTGCTGCTAGCAGCTCACTGATAATCGAAAGATCATGGAGAAGGAAAAATAACGAGCGCGAGGGGCAGAGGCTGGGCAGAGAGCTGGCGGGAAGAGTTTGGACTTGGCGGTTGTAGTCAAAGCTGTATCCGTCGTAGGCAACAGGGTCGATTTGCCAAGCTCGACTACTGGTTCTCATCCACCCAAGCTCGCGACTTCACTGGTCGTTTGTGGTTCGATGTACATGCATAAAGGCTAGAAATACATCTCGATACGTTACAAGTAGCAGAGTCCAAGAAAGCAGAGATTCAAAAAACGTCGACCTGTACATGGGGGCAGCATAGGGCAAGATAGGGCAAGATTCGCGACTGCAGCTCGTATCATCATAGCTGGAGGAGCATCGACTGAAGCCAAGGATTGCTTTCTATTCGAGGTCGAAGTTCCTCGACACAACGCTTCAATCGCTCCATCTCCTTTTCGACGTCGATCTCATCTTCATCTTCATCGACCATGACTACATCTTCATCCCCATCCTTGGCTTGCTTGGAAGCCCAAGAACGAAAGAGGTCTTGGACAATCTCGATACCCTCGTTTGTAACCTCGACCGGAAGCTCGTCGTCCATATGCTTGTCGTCTAGATATCGGAGATCAAGAAATGTACTTGAACGACGAATTCATTATGCTCACCTCCGCCAAAATCTTCCAATTCCTTGGCTTTTTGTCGAGCGAGCTGCAATGGTCTCTGATCAGCTTTGGCTAACGCGAGCCTATCATTCTTACCTTGACGACGGACTCAGGGAAGTTGGCCATTTCTGCAACGTGGATACCGAAACTTTGGTCACAAATTCCTGGCTCGACCTTGTAGAGAAGGGTGATATCCTGCTTTTCATTCTCTGTCTTGTCCCCAACATGCGCTACTACATGTAGATTCTTGACATGGGGTATTTCTTGATCCAACGTGGTCAATTCATGAAAGTGGGTGGCAAACAAGCAAAACGCGTGGATCTTGGACGCAATATGCCTAAGGCGCCAAGTCAGCCAACTTGTTGAACCCAAGTACCAAGACTCTGAAGAGATCCACTCACTCCGATATCGCCCAAGCCAAACCGAAGCCATCGTACGTCGAGGTTCCTGTCGACAATTCAACATTCAATTACAAAACTCCGGAACCCACAAGGACACATACCTCGACCCAATTCGTCGATAATGATGAGAGAATCTTTGGTAGCGGACTGAACACAGATAAGAAGAGATTTAAGAGCATCCATTGTATGTTAGCTAGAACACTTACCCTTAGAATGGTAGCAGTCTCCAACATCTCAGCCATGAACGTAGACACCCCCTTCAGTTGACTGTCACCAGCCCCGACACGACATAGGATGGAATCAAATATAGGTATTTGGGCCTCTGTGCAGGGAACGAAACACCCCGTTTGGGCCATCAACGCGATAACGCCAACCTACAGGCAATGTAAGCAACTTGAGGTCAGAGCAGTGGACGCGACACACCTGTCGAATGTACGTCGACTTCCCGCCCATATTTGGACCAGCTGAGAAGTACACATGAGTCTACAACCGACGAAACGTCAGAAAGACACCGCTCACTGATTATCTGAAATTCAGTCTTGTCTGGGAGCAGGGAAATCAACAAAGAGACTAAAGGATCCGTTGCGTATCTCACCTTTGATCATCTCGACGTCGTTGGGTATAAACGAAACCTCTTCTTGCACTTCCAAACACGGATGCCTAGCCTCTTGGAGAATTAGGTCTCCGGTTCCTACCAGAAACGTTTCAAATCTCGATTTCAGTAAGATTGACGAGGACAAGAAAACCCACCGCTCAAAGTAACCTTCGGCTTAACATAAGGCGTTGGAGCGTTTACGGAAACGTGGGCAAAGCTGGGATGATTCGAAGATCAGCTCGGCGCGCGAGATCCTACTGCAGATTTAACCAACCTCAGAATAACATCTAGATGCGCTATGACATGGTCCAACGCTTCGAGGACCGGCGTATATGTCGCTATTAGATACCCGCCAGTGAGAACTCTGAATGACCTCAGATTTGAGGACTCACACGCAATATTGACCACTTCTTTGACTAACCCGCTTTGTGTTCGTGCGTATTGGTCGGAAGACTCCTTGTAATCATTCGCGAACTGTTTCAGTTTCTTGGTAGTGAAGAAAACACCGCTCTTGGTGGTGCCAAGCTCAATGTACTTCTTGGACAACCCTCGAGCATCCTGAGTACCGACCGTGAGCAAGTAAGTAACATTCGAGAGGCGTTGGTTGGACCCACATTCTTCGTTACTCTGAAACAGTACCC